TGCAAATGGGGTCTCAAATCCTTTCTTGTCTAAACTAGAGACACTCAGCAAATTATGCTCCATTTCAGGCACACATAATATATCATTAAACCTTGTTTCCAAATATGGAATTTGCACACTGCCTCTTTCAATGACTTTAGCCTTCTGGCCATTTGCCAAGGCTACTGTATCTCCAGCAGCTGGATCCATCCTGAAAAACAATTTAGAATTGTTAACAATTGCTTGACTTGCCCCACTGTCTTATCAACCATTTGTCTCTGCTATTGCAATAGCTGACTTTTGCCACAGCAACGTGTTCATCCGCTAATTGTCTTCCTTGCAAACAATTTTTGTCTTGCAAATAATTTCTTCCTTGCAAACAGTTTTTTCTTTGCAAACAGTTTTTCTTCAAATGTGTTTTTCCACCACAAATGACGCTCCGCCTCTGTTGTTGGGCTGTAATCTGATCTCTTCTGCTGCTACATTTCTCTTTGCAGACATTCAGTCTGTGGAATTTTCCATTGCTCTTCACTCTCTGCTCCTTGGGCCCCCACCTCAGGAATTTCTCCTCGTGGCTCTTTCTAAAATGGTGCTTGTTCTCCTCAGCAAGCAAACAATCCTTTAAAGCCTCCAAACGCAACTCCTGTTCTGATTTGCACTCAAATAGGGAAGAAACAATGTCCCACGTTTCATCCATACTGTTTAAAACCAACAACACCTTTTGAGATTCAGGAAACTGCATTCCACGCTGTTCTAACTCCACAAACAAAGTTTGCATTTGTACAAAATGCTGTTCCATAGAATCATGTGGTTAGAGGCGGGCTCTGTATAATTTTATTTATTTATTGTTTATTTATTGGTTTGATTTATATGCCGCCCTTCTCCAGAGACTCAGGGCATCTTACAATGCGTTAAGCAATAGCCTTCATACTTTTGTATATACCTGCTTAGTAGGGCTTTCGGCCCCCCCAAGTGGTGTTCTTTTTTTATACAAAGTCAGCTTATTGCCCCTACAATCCGGGTCCTCATTTTACCTACCTCGAAAGGATGGAAGGCTGAGTCAACCTTGAGCCTAGTGAGATTTGAACTTGCAGTAATTGCAGGCAGCTGGTGCTATTTAAGAGCACTTTAGTCTGCTGCACCACCAAGGCTCTTATTTTACAATTTTCTTGATAATTGTACAATATTGCATGCTGACACACTCACATGTACACTTCTCAACTTCAGCCAGACCTCCTTTGCAGTCTTTAAATCAGCTACATTGAGAAATTGTTCATCTTCTAAACTTAAGATAATATAAGCCATTGCTTTATCATGCTGCCTTTGATCTGCAGCTGCAAATGGTGCCTAGGGAGGATTAACAACAATATTCCCGAGCTCCTTTGGCTTCAGGAAACACTCCATCTTTGCAGCCCAAATTATATAGTTCTTCTGTCCCAAACGAGGCAGAGAGCAATCCCTGAATTCAACAACAGCCATCCTGCAAGCTTTCTCTGCCTTGTTTCTCCTTTTAAACACAGACAGTCTCTCAGCTTAATTACACTTTAGTCTTTCTGTGTGCTCTGGGCCTATAACCTATCAGAGTTTGTTGCAGAAATCACATCCAGAAAAGCACACACAGATAACTGATTCAGCAGGATTCATTAACTTCTCTTTATATACATAATAACACATACAATATCAACAGCAGATTCTTAGAGAGTTACAGGCAAAACACACAGGCAGAGGAGAGAACAGCAGAGATGAGTTTCTGTTTCAATTCAGCAGACAGACTCAGAAGTTAAACCACACCCAACTTCCAAAACTGTTTCATTTTGTAAACAGTCCCCATTGTCTTTGTGTTTTTGATTAGGCTGTACACCGCCCTGAGTCCTTCGGGAGAAGGGTGGTATAGAAATGAAATTAATTAATTAATTAATTAATTAATTAATTAATTAATTTTAACTATGATATTGTATATTTATGTTTTTAATTTTGGCTGTACACTGCCCCAAGTCCTTCGGGAGGAGGGCAGTATATAAATAAAATTATTATTGTTGTTGTTGTTGTTGTTGTTGTTGTTGTTGTTGTTGTTGTTGTTGTTGTTGGCTGATCTATTCCAGTCTATGAATATTCATATTCTGACAGACATATAAGTTGAAACAGCAAAACTGGGCCAAGAAATATCTGAAGACAGATTTTTCAAAGGTTTTACGGACTGATAAGATGAGAGTGACTCTTGACGGACCAGATGGATGGGCCTGTGGCTGAATCAGTAATGGGCACAGAGCTCTACTTTGACTCAGACACCAGCAAGGAGTCAAGGTGGGGTACTGATATGGGCTGGTATTATTAAAGATAAGGTAGTTGGACCTTTTCGGGTTGAAGATGGACTCAAAAGCAACTCCCAAACCTACTGCCAGTTTTTAGAAGACACTTTCTTCAAGCAATGATACAGGAAAAAGTCTGCATTTTTCAAGAAGACCATGATTTTTATGCAGGACAATGCTCCATTGCATGCATTGAAATACTCAGTAAAGGCCTTAAAAATGAAAGAATAATGACATGGTCCCTTCCTCCCTTGACCTAAACCCTATTGAGAACTTGTGGGCTCTTCTTAAATGGGAGATTTATGGTGAAGGAAAACAGTATACCTCTCTGAACAGTGTCTGGGAGGCTGTGGTTGCTGCTGCACAAAAAGTTAATCGTCAATAGATCAAGAAACTGGCAGACTCCATGAATGGAAGGCTTATGACTGTTATTGAAAAGAAGGGTAGCTATATTAGTCACTGATATATATACATCACGTGCGCATGCAGACTCTCTGCGCATGCGCAAAACCTTCTGCACATGTGCAGAGGGTAAAAACACATTACTTTCTGGTTAAAACCAGGCAGTAATGACACCCGGGCAGGTGGGCAGAGCCTCACACCGCCCTCGCTACTGGTTCTCCAAACCACCTGCCACAATCGCTACCAGATCGCCTGATCCGGTCCAAACTGGGAGCATTTCACTCCTGGTGCAAACCCTTCTGTGCGTGTGCAGAGGGTAAAAAACAGGTTACTTCCTGGTTAAAACCAGGAAATAATGACAACTGGGTGGGTGGCCAGAACCTCACGCTGCCATCGCTACCAGTTCTCCAAACCACCTGCTGCTATCACTACTGGTTCCTCCGAACCGGTAGCATTTCACCCTGATATATATATATATATATTGAAATGACAGAAATATTTATTTGCACATTTTGAGTTGTTTGTTTATTATTTTCACTTTAACAAATGCAAATAAATTAGTGAGATGGGCAAATTTTTGTTTTTAATTTAGTTGCATAATAATTCTGCACATTAATAGTTGCCCAGTAATTGTGCACATATAGATATTCTCCTAAGAAAGCCAAAACCTCACTTTTATTTTCTTAAATATTCAGGTTTGAGGTTTGAATTGACCTACAGCACTGCAGTTGTTCAATAATAAAATACAAAATACAACTTGCCTAATTGTGCACACAGTGTAAATATATTTGGACCAACTACAAATTGCAAGTGGTCTTCAAGGGCAGCCCCATTACAGTAATAAAGGATCACTAAGCTATAAGTCACCATGAACAAGGCCTCCCAATCATGGACTGGGTTCAATTGGTACACAAGAAAAATCTGTGCAACCCTCCCCCCCACCTTCCACAGCCAGGATCTACTGTTCAAGCAACTGACTATCCTCATGAAATCCCCTAATCACTGCAATAGATTACTTCTGATTTTCTACCAGATTTTTCTGCATCACAAATTGACTAATGCAAAGATCAATTCTGTAGTCTTTTGCTTGCAACTTGAACAAAGAACAAAGAATAAAAACACCCAGCTTTCTGTAATTCACCTTTGGCTTTAAAATGCTTCTCTTTCTGCTTGAGCACATTTGCAAATCCCATCTATGGATGCTCTTACCCACACCCAAATGACAGAATTTTAGAATGGGAGAGTTCCAATTAAGAGAGAGACAGAGAGACAGACACTCACTGACTGACCAACCTACTTGTTCACTCACTCACTTACTCTTCCGAATATTTCACTCACTCACTCACTCTTCCTACTATATTTCGGAGAAGGGAGAAATAGAGGAGTTTGAAAGGCAGAAGAACTTACTCATTCTTCTGAAGAAGAAGGAACGGTGAGGAAGAGTATTGCCCTCTGGCCACTCATATCCAGAAAGTATCAGGAAGAGGAGCACCTGACATCATCTAGACTTGGAAGTGGAAGGCAAGGAGAAAATATAGAAGGCAATAGTGTAGGAAAATAAGGCGGCAAGGCAGAAACAAATACTTCTCATGCTAGAAAAAGCCATTATGACCAGATGACTTCCAAGGTACCAAGAATGTTGACTTGGAAAGGTATGGGGTGTGGGGGAAGCTAGAACTAAAATTCTGCAGCACAGATGATAAGGACTTCAATGTCTATATATTAATGTCAACAAATATTTTTATTTGGCTTCATTCTTGTCTTTAATGAAGACATGAATCTAAACAAATATCATCCAAAAGCATTCTGGATAGAAGCCAATTTCTGTATTACATGACTGGAAAGATACACAACCATCCCTTCATCTAATGGGAACCCTGATACTAATTTTTATTGTGAATCTCTGTTTTGTTTATTGTTTATTGTGAATCTCTATTGTGAATCTGATAATGAGTTTCTTTTTATTTATTCCTCTTTGTATTTTAAAAATCTGGTGAAGTTTTCAAAACACATCACTCTTCTCTACAACTACCTCTTGTTAAGTCTCATATATTCCTCTCTATTTTAAGCAGCAACTGATAATACCTGATGGTCTAACATAGGGACATATCTGCAATCTTAAATTTCAGTAGAATTGCTGAAATAATTTGTCTAAATGATTTCTTAATGGGAAAATCATGCCACATTTATGTTACAAATCTGTATTCATTATTAATTATTTTTAGGCATTTTTATAGCTCGCTGCTACTTAAACACTTGTCACTGTTTATTTCACAGTAAATCAAGTTTCTGTCTTTTTAACTTGTTTAGATTATTGGAGTGAAAGTGATAAGGAAGAAATAGACACACCTTCCACACCTAAACAAGACAGTCCACCTCCACCATATGACACATATCCACGACCTCCTTCAGTAAGTGATTATGTATAATAATTAGTTGTCATTATTAATGGAAATACATTAATTTTTTAACCTTTTACTTGGGAAATAAATTAATTTGGAAGATGGATGTTAAACTTACAAGATAGCCAGATGTTGTATTCTGTATTTTAAACAACAACACTAAAAGCCATTTCCGGCAGCGTTCAAGTCTTTGAAGATAAGAGATGCTTACACAGAATTCCTGGAGCAATTACTGTGACAACATGGTCTTTCCAGGGAGTTTTGTTAAAGAACCCTTTATCGTATAAAAACCTTGGCATTGCAATAAATAATGTTATTTTTTAAAAAGTTATTCTTTTTAGAAAGTTAAAGAAGTTAATAAATTTAGAAGTTGCTATTAACTTAGCGGTTCTAAAAAAGTGATAATTCCAACTATTATTAATATTTACAGAAATAATGTTCATCTGGTCCTGATTCAAAAGTATATAATTTACTAGATAATTAAGCAGTCTAATTAAACATACAGTAGATGTCCTATTCTGCTCAACTCAATTCTTGCCTTCAATATTTCAATTTTACCTGTTGGGTTTCCTTTTTAATTTCATTCAAACCAGTACCACAGAAGTGACTAAGTTTTTTTTAGTGATGATGTTCTGAGTAGTCAAATCAAAGTAATTTTCAGTGATCTTTACATAAATAAAAGAAATTAAAAGGCAAATTATTAAAAATTTTAGAAAATGCAAAGAAAACAGATGAAAATAACTTTTCAATTGCTACAAAAGTGGGCTCATGCAAGAGAATTTCAAAGGTACTTATGAATACTGAGATCTTTTTCCTGGGTCTGCTTCCTGATCTATAGCAACTAAGGATCTCATGAGTTCTGATGGGGATTTCAAATCTGAAATCAATGATTATAGGCTATCCTTCTGATAGATTACTGGTTCTTATTAACATATTGTCTATATTGAAGTATCAGTTGGAGCCAAAAGCTAATTTGTTTTTTAATAAATAACCATCCTAATCAATCAAAATTTGTCGGATTATATGCATTTTATCCAACACCTTAAAGTTTGAAGAACATTATTTGGAAGATAGATACAATTAAATATATAAAATAGTCAATAATGGAGATGCCGATATACAGAAGGTGAAAAGCAATTTAAAATTAATTAATTAAATTTATATGCCATCCATCTCACCAATAAGATGACTCTGGACAGCTTACAGACAGCAAAAAGATAAATACTGTATAAAAACAATTTAAATTTGAAAAACTATATAAAAAATTAGAATCAAGAAGACAAATGGCAGAGGGATGAGATCTTCTTCTTATCCCATAAACCACTCCTAGTGGTGAGCATCTCCTCAGGGCCCATACTTATGATTTTTAGTCTCTTCCAATGTGTATTTTTATGTGTGATATCTTCTTAGGAAATATGACATATCTTCTCAAGAAATAGCAAGGATGATTTTTCTTTAAATTCTCCTGCAATCTACAATTAACAGAGCAGTCTGAAGGACATTTTCTAAATTATATTTATGAAAGCAGTTCATTTTAATGCATATTCCTATTATGCATGCTTTTCTAAAAAAGCAATATATAACTAAGAGAGCTGTAATTATAATTAGTTACTTAAATATATATTGTATACTTATTTTACCATTGTCTTCAAGCCAGAATGTAAATTTCTGTTGCAGATGAGTTGTGCAAGCCCTTTTGTGGAACCAAAACACAGTCGACTGTCTTCTACTGAAACTTCCCAGTCTCAATCTTCACATGAAGAGTTCCGTCAGGAGCTGGTGGGGAGTACTACTGAATCTCCCATCCGCAAAACAGCAAGCCAGCGTCGGTCTTGGCAGGATTTAATAGAAACACCGCTGACAAGCTCAGGGTTACATTACCTTCAGACTCTGCCCCTTGAGGATTCAGTGTTTTCTGATTCTGCTGTTATCTCTCCAGAACACAGGCGGCAATCAACTCTTCCTATCCAGAAATGTCATCTGCAGGATCACTATGGCCCTTTTCCTTTAGAGGGTGAACAAATACAAGTTTTAAATGTGAATGGGGGAAAGCCCCGTAGTTACACTCTGCCACGGGATGGTGGGTTCAACCATTGCTGCCATATACTTTCTGTCAGTGCTTCAAGCCATCAAGAAGAAGTGCCACAAAAAGAGCAAGAGGAACAAGGAAGAAAAATTACAGAAGAGAATCAAGTAGATGAAAGTAAGCATGAATCATATTGCCATCATTAAAGCAATTTTCATAGAAATAATTGAATACAGAGAAAAATTGGATTAAATATATGGTTTCAAATTTACTTCGTTCTGCACATGGTGGAAATAGTTTCTTTAAATATAGTTATGCACAATACATAAAATATATTTCAAAACTTTACTTACTGCATAGTAATTAATGAAGGCATTGTCATACTTTCTGTGAGACTTAAAATTATTCTAGTTTGGCCACATCCTTGCTTGTTGGCATATGTATGATTTGAGTATGGTAGTTTATTTTTTTTATGAGAGGATCTGCAGAATTTTTGAAAGCAAATGTTTTATGGAATATGAGTCCTTTCCATTTGGTAAGGTTTCATAAAACAATGAAGTTTAGGATGTAAAGTAATCTCTTTCTGAAAAGTATGTCCATAGTCTATTACAGCATAGTAGTTAACGAGCAACTCGTAGATTGCATGTTGTTTTCTTGGAATCGTTTATCAGTTGCATTTGTACAGTTGTACAGTCAGATGAAGGAAATAATTAATTCTAACTGGATGCTAATTTAAAAAGTAAATGTCCAATGAAAGACTTTTTCTCCACTATTGCAATATTTTCTGTTGTATGTGCTGAATTCAGTAAAAGAAAAAAAATATAAAGTATAAACATATTAAATGCTGAGTGCAGAAGCTGAAGCCTTGTTACTATGGTTACCAATGTTATATTCACATTACTGACTCTTACTTTCTCTGTATACACACACATATACATACACATATGCATAGCAGTTGGGCTGCTACATTTTTATTTTTCTGTCTGAATGCATTTAAAATAGCCTTGCATTCAAAAGCAAATGGAAGTTTTTGAGAAACACAATTAGTTATAATTTCCAAGCTTATGACTATTGCATTTTCATACACATGAATGAAGGTTTGAAATCTTCATATATTTTCTGTGGCTAACAACATTGTACTCACTCTACATCAAACAAGGAAAATGGTTGCTATAATAAGGAATGTAAAAAATAATAGTAGCATCTCCCCCACTTAGAACAGTCATAGTTTTTTTCTAGCTCCCTTATGAATTTAGTAGAATATTTGAATGTTGTCAATTGTTGGCTAAAACGTTGCTACAACCACAATTGAGCCCAACATTTCCATTGCTCAGCAAAACAATTGTGAGCTTTGCCTCTCTTTACAAACTTTCTTGCCACAATTGTTAAGTGAATCACTGCAGTTGTTAAATTACTATCATGATTGTTAAGTGAAACTAGCTTCCCCATTGACTTTGCTTGTCAGAAGGTCACAAAAGATGATCACATGATTCCAAGATACTATAACTCTCATAAATATATGCCAGTTGCCAAGCGTCCAAATTTTGGTCACATGAACACTGTTGAGGCTGCAACAGTCATGAGTGTGAAAAACAGTCATGAGTGTGAAAAACAGTCATAAGTCACTTTTTTCAGTGCTGTTATAACCTCGAATGGTCAATAAATAATGACTGTAAATCAAGGAGCATCTGTATGTAAACTTGATGAAACATTGATTTCTTTTCAAGAAATTCTGGATAGGATAGACTTAAGTGATAATAAATCACTTTAGTATAGTAAACATATACAAATGACACAATGTTTTGGATGTCCCAGGCTATAAAATGATATCAAACAATATGTATTGAAATAGAATAGAAATGTGCCTGGTTTGTTTAGAATGTGTGAGTGATAAATGAATATCAACTGAATACAATATAATTAATACAAAATAAATATGTTGAGATACTTGGTTGAATGGAGAAAATGTATGAGATACAAAACAAATTACAAAGCAATAAATGTAGAAAAAGTTAATGGATTCTGAGCAAAGGTGCAAATTTGGTGGAATTAAGTTGATCCATATTATCAGGAGAAAAGACCAATGTAGGGAACAAAAGGCAATGTCTAATGAAGAATATGGACATGATAGAAATAATCATGTTTGAATAGTTATGGAGAGTGAAAGGTGTTAGTTTAAACTAGATTTGAATAGAATAGAATAGAATAACAGAGTTGGAAGAGACCTTGGAGGTCTTCTAGTCCAACCCCCTGCCCAGGCAGGAAACTCTACACCACTTCAGACAAATGGTTATCCAACATCTTCTTAAAAATTTCCAGTGTTGGGGCATTCACAACTTCTGCAGGCAAGTTGTTCCACTTATTAATTGTTCTAACTGTCAGGAAATTTCTCCTTAGTTCTAAATTGCTTCTCTCCTTGATTAGTTTCCACTCATTGCTTCTTGTTCTACCCTCAGGTGCTTTGAAGAATAGTTTGACTACCTCTTCTTTGTGGCAACCCCTGAGTTATTGGAACACTGCTATCATGTCTCCCCTAGTTCTTCTCTTCATCAAACTAGACATATCCAGTTCCTGCAACCATTCTTCATATATTTTAGCCTCCAGTCCCCTAATCATCTTTGTTGCTCTTCTATGCACTCTTTCTAGAGTCTCAACATCTTTTTTACATCGTGTCAACCAAAACTGAATGCAATATTCCAAGTGTGGCATTATAAAGTGGTATTAATACTTCACGTGATCTTGATTCTATCCCTCTGTTTATGCAGCCCAGAACTGTGTTGGCTTTTTTGGCAGCTGCTGCACACTGCTGGCTCATATCTAAATGGTTGTCCACTAGGACTCCAAGATCCCTCTCACAGTTACTACTATTGAGCAAGGTACCACATATACGGTACCTGTGCATTTTGTTTTTCTTCCCTAAATGTAGAACCTTGCTTTTTTCACTGTTGAATTTCATTTTGTTAGATAGCGCCCAATGTTCAAGTCTGTCAAGCTCCTTCTGTATCTTGAGCCTATCTTCTGGAGTGTTGGCTATTCCTGCCAGCTTGGTGTCATCTGCAAATTTGATGAGTTCCCCATCTGCCCCCTCGTCCAAGTCATTGATGAAGATGTTGAAGAGCACTGGGCCTAAAACAGAGCCCTGGGGTACTCCACTGCATACTTCCCTCCATGTAGATGCAGTTCCATTGAGGACTACACGTTGAGTGCGGTTGGTCAGCCAGTTACAAATCCATCTGGTGGTGATGCTGTCTAACCCACATTTTTCTACTTTATCTAGTAGTAGGTTATGGTCTACTTTATTAAATGCTTTACTAAAGTCCAAGTAAATTATATCGACAGCATTCCTCTGGTCCACTAATTTTGTCACTTTGACAAAGAATGCAATAAGATTGGTCTGGCATGATCTGTTTTTGACAAACCCATGTTGCCTTTTGGTTATTACTTGGTTTGCTTCTAGGTGTTCGGTGATTCGTTGTTTGATTATCTTTTCCAGAATCTTCCCTGGTATTGAGGTCAGGCTGATAGGTCTGTAGTTTCCTGGATCTATTTTTTTTCCTTTTTTGAAGATGGGAACTTCCAATCCTCTGGCAGTTCCCTTGTACTCCAGGATCTTTCAAAAATATAGTTCAGTGGTTCTGAGATCTCATCTGCCAGTTCCTTCAGAACCTTAGGGTGTAATCCATCTGGTCCTGGTGATTTGAACTCATCTAGGGTAGACAAGTGTTCACTTACCATTTTCTTTCCTATTTTAATTTGTGTTCATAATCTGTTTTTTGTGGTGCTGTTTTTGATAGGTTGGACTGTTTTTTTTCCTTTTGTGTAAAGAAAGATGCAAAAAATGAGTTAAGTAGTTCTGCTTTCTCCCTGTTGCTTGTCACCTTCTTGCCACTTTCTCCCAGCAATGGGCCAATTGTTTCCTTGATTTTTTTCTTGTTTTTAATATGTTGGAAGAAGCTTTTTTTGTTATTTTTTTACTTTAGTCGCAAGCCTTTATTCATTTTGAGCCTTAACTTTCCTCACTTCATCTTTATAGGTGTTAGATCATGGGAGGCAATGAAGAGGCAGGAGGACAGACAGTAACTTCAGCTCTTTATTTAAGTAAGTGACTTCTGCAAAGGCTTAGCCGGCAGCACTCCCTTTTAAAGGGAGCAGTCCCACCGATTTAGCCACTGACAATGCTTTACATTTCCCTCCGTTTGAATCCACCAATCAGTGGCAGGCATGCAAATGTCCAGCTAAACCCAGACCTGAGTGAAGCCTACATCCCTGGCTTCACTTGCTATTTACATATGTAACACCCCTCCCCTCTGGAATAGTCTTACCCAATCATCGGGGTCTACAACACATAGTCACATAAGAAGGCGGGGCGCTGATGGTTCCTTCCTGACCTGCATAGTTCATTCGAGTTAGCAGCAGCAGCCTGGGTAGTCAGGCCTGCTGCCGCAGCCCACTCCCTGGTATGGAACTTCCTGGAAACTTTCTGTGGGTGTAGCGGACCCAGCCTGGCTTATTTCCCCAGAGTCTCGTCGCTGGCCGCTTGGCCCTACAGGTGGGTGTGTGGTTTCCCTCGGGCTTGAGAGTAGGTCCCCTGTGTCTGGGTAACATAGGCCGCAATCTATGTTTGTTTTGTATCTGCTTGGTGCAGGGCACTGTCTATTCCTATGGTTTTTTTCACATTCTGTTTGGGGCTGATTATTTTCGAACTGTTTTAGGCTCAAGTTCCCTATTCGTCCCCTGAGTTGGTCTATGTGCCTTCTAAGAACTAAACTTTTCCATCCTCTAGTTCTACCTGGTATGATTTGGGACCCTTAATGTTAATTATTTTTGCCTTTAACCAGGCAGGGGTCCCTGCATAATAGAGCATATACTAGATCCCCTACCTGGAAGCTCCTGACCTTACTGGTAGAATCGATGGCGGTGTCTATGCTATAATTGGGGTGCAGTCTGTCTAACGGGGATCTTAGTTTTCTTCCCATGAGTAGCTCAGCTGGATTCCTATTCGTGGTCGTGCTAGGGGTTATATATTGCATTAATAGGAATATGTCTATTTTGGTTTGCCAATCCCCAGGGCCCATCTTGCTAGTGTTTCTTTGGTCGCTCTAACCATTCATTCGACTTGCCCATTACTGGCCGGTGAATATGGTGCGACCAATGCATGCCATATCCCCTGTTCAGCT